TCCAAGACTTGAAAATGTTTAAGTGAAGGGCTGATGTTAATCTGATTTGTCTGGTTTAACCGTTAATATAAATTGGGTGACCAGATGCCGATAATGGTGACTGCAGACATAATCCAGAATTACCTTATTTTCCTACGTATAAGACTACTTTTTAACCTGAAAAATCTGTGGTTAAAGTGGGGGGGTCGTCTTATACGCCGGGTATAAGGATAAGGAGGATAGAGGTGCTAAAACTCTATATTTTGACTGGGAAAATGGGGGGGGGTTGTCTTATATACCGGGTCGTCTTATACACTGGGCCGTCTTATATGCCAGAAAATATGGTAGCTGAAAAGTGCTCATTGTTTAGATTAATCAGTTTAATAGATAGGGTAGGGAACCACATCTGTTTGAACAAAAGACAGAAACATTGTGGGAAGACCTGAGATTCACCTCAAGAACTTGTTCCTTAAATTCTTATATTTATATTAAGACATATATATTATTGTTAAATATAGCCATTGGATTGTTGAAGACATTGTAGTTTCATATATACATAATTTAAGCAAAACATATGAAGAAAGTAATTAATTGTTTGAAATTATTTGTTGGTGTTGATGTTGGTGTTGGTATGGAGAAGAAATGCTCATGCAGCCATGGATAGGTTACATCCACTCTTACATTTGAATGAACCTGCTAAACTATAAACATTTCTATTGGTGCTTTGGGAGATATCTTGCTAAAATTGGCTGAGCTATGCTGTCTTTATCTTGTAGATTGAATATTTTGAGAGCTACTATTGGCTGAAGTCTTCTTGGGAAAACTATGTTGTTATGTGTCATCAAGTGAAACTATTTTTTTTCGAGCAAAATGGCTTTTTCTATCAGTTATAGCATCAGAATTCTTGGCTCTTGGAGGAGGAGCTTTTTGCCTAGTCCCTACTGAATATGTAATTTGTTTTATTTGAATTTTGTGTATTTTTAAAAGCCCTTTGTTTAATGCATTATCTTCTGAGGCATGAGACAGTATCATCAAATTTCAAAGAATTTATCTCTTCCAACCTAGATACAAAAAAATCAAGTTGTTTTCCTAAAGTTTCAGTAACAAATCACACTTAGTTTATCACCAAGATTAAATATCTTTAACCTTAATTTATCAAAGATTCTAAACTGTATCTTGACCATAATGTTGCACTAGAGCATCTAAAATGCCTAGGTAAATATTTTCTCTAGGAATCTCTTGTTCCTCCAGTGTGACTCTATGGTTATCCTTCTGACAGAATTGTGCCGGAGGATCTAGAAATTCCTGGAGATGACTTATTAATAAAATCCATGAATAAGCAAATCCAAAAAATTCAAAGCCACAAATATGGAAGGCCAATTGTATTAAATTTAGTTTTAGGGGGGAGGGAAGTGGGAAAGTGGGAGGGGGAGTAATATATTTTAGTTTAGATTAGTTTATTTAGATTTAGATATGTATTGTTGATTAGAACATATGTTTTTGTATGTATTTGTGTTTTTATTGTATTTGATATTCATTTTAAAACCTAATAAAAATCAATAAAAAGAAAATAATATTCTATTTCAATTATTTCTTATTAAGCTATACATTTGATTCTGAGCCAGGAAAGCTGAAATGATATAAAGGCATGTTTTAAAAGCCACTCTGGAATTTGCAAGCTATTGATTTGTGTGTTTGTGTTTTTTCTTCTTCTCTTTTTGCTATGACCCCTTGCTCTATGATTTTATCAGTTTGACCTGCTTTAAATTAATCCGGCACACAGCAGGAAAAAAAGTGATTGAATGTGGTCATACTTTGACCTCATAAATTTGAAATGAAGACCAGAGGCCACTTGCTGAGTTGAGCCAATTGTGGAAATGCTGGCCTGGAAAAGGAGCAATGGTTGGTTGCTGGAGAAATGTCACTATGCTGGATACATTGGAAAGTATTATTTAAGCAAGGAATATAAATAAAATATAGATGAATAAGGGCAACATAGAGAACACATTAAATTAGTCACATGGTTTTGTGAGCACATGGAAGTAGAGTGAGCTAAGCTCGCTATTGTGATGCCAGGCACTTGTTTACAAGGCAAGTGCTACCCATTGCTATCACTATTGGTGTGAGTCGCTCTATGCCAGAACAAAGTGCCCAGACATGTGATTGATGGTGGGTGCCTTCTTTTGACCTCAGACCAAGTGACCTGCAGAGCTATGGTGGCACCAAGTGGCACAGTGGGATGCATATGTGACAGATTGCCCAAAATAATGGGGGGATATCAAGACAGCTTCGAGGACAGAATACTCTGGGGTGGTCCCAGAGTATTCTGGCCCATGTGGACCCAACCTAGAACACTGGAAAACCTCATTGCTCAGACAATGTTCAGCTGGTACAGCACACCATTTTAATTCTTCCTGTGCATTGTTTACATTTGGTTTTTAATATGGAAAAAAACATAGATTATTTCACATTTAGAATGGAAAGAGTTTGAGGTTAAAGAAAACAGGATGTGGGGAAAATAAGAAATGATAGAGTCAGTCTTTCAGGCCCAGGGACTTGAATGCTTAACCATTTAGGCTAAAATGCAATTCACCACTGGAGTGAAAACTCTGAACGGCAAAGATGTATAGCATTGGAAAGTTTCTGGTGCCCTATTTCTATGGACCAATCAGTCCTGGCTTGTGGGAAAGCAAACCTGTGTCCAGGTACCTTAGCATATCTGTAATGTCTAAAACACACTGCAGAAATAATTCAATTTGAGACAACTTTAACTGCTCTGGCTCAGTGCAAGGGAATCCTGGGAATTTTAGTTTATTGTTGCACCAGAGCTCTCTGCCAGAGAAGGTTAAATGTCTCACAAAGCTACAATTTCCAGAATTCCCTAGCATTGAGCCAGAGCAATTAAAGCAATCTCAAGCTGGATTATTTCTGCAGTGTGCTTGGAACCAAAGTTGGATCGTTTTGCCTCCTGAGTTCTGTAATTGCATGGACAAACAGCAAAAACCTACTTGTGGAAGGAGGCATTGTATGTTTCTTGTGGAAGTTTGGGGAATTACTCACACAACTAGAAGTTGTGGAAGCATATGCATCAATGGATACAACCCTAAAGGTCTGATTTTTAACCTTTTTACATTCATCCATTTTAATATTGAATTAAAATTGTGAACTTTTTCCTTGAGAGGTTCCTCATTTTCTACATTTCTATGACAAGAATGTAGGAATGGAAGGAATATGAAAAGATGATTGAAAATGGGTAAAAAAAAACACATCTAGCTTTTCCAAATGCTTAAAAATCCTGACAATTTGCATGTGGTTGTTTTGTGCAAAGAACAACATTTTATGTTCTGAGAAAGCTGTTTTCTACCCAGAAAATGCTGAACTGGAGAGCTATTCTGCACAAAAATTTTCAGGTTGTTAATTTGCACAGAAAACATTTTCCACATAGAAAATTCTGTTTGTTTCCCAGAAAATGTTGTTTGCTGTGCAAAATATTCACATAAGACGATAAGTGCAAAGAGATTTTGAAAAGTTCATTGCGTTTGGGGAACAAGGGAAAGAACTGTGATTTAAATTTCTGTATTCAGTGTTCTTGATCTAAAAGATTGGTCCCATTCAAAGAATTTAGACATTTTAAACTGACTTGATAGAAATGACTATTGCAGCAATGCCACGACAAAGGTATTCTGCACCAGCTCAAAGGCATCCTTTATTTGACATTACTCTGCATTATGTTAAATAAAATATAACTTGACACTGAAGATCAATAATCACTTCATTGTGCTTCTTTCAGAGGTGAATCATCTTGCAATGGAACAGCCTATGTTGATAATTATAAAAGGAATCTGGAAAGGGGGTTTCTTTGGGGAAAAAAATGGAACTACATATATAAAAATGTGTCAAACATATTCAAAGATTGTTTAAACTTCTTATTCCAGCAGCTTTGGTGACACATCAAGGAATGCTGGAGATCTCAAACAGTAAAAGCAACAGTTTGGGCTGGTAATTATCTGCTCATAACCCATGAAGATTGCCTTCTGTAATTGCCTTGCTGTGTTAATTTTCCTTTCAGTAAACTCCACTACACATTCCCAAAGACACTTTTTAACATTATAGAACAAAAGGAAATGCTGAAGGTTTAGGAAGATGTAGTGTACTGCACAATTTTAATAATTAGATTAGATGTTTTTTTTTTATGGCCCAATGATAATCTAGGCTAACCACCACCTAGTGAGGCATTTACTGCTAAAGTAGCCCCAAAGAGATAGACATCCAACTACTGTTTTAAAATCTCAATTGAAGAAGTGTTCACCATTTTCTGATATATGTTGTGCCACTTTTGAATGGTTATTACCATTACGTTTTTCTTAATGTTTAGCTGCAATCTCATTTCTTGTAATTTGAATCAATGTGTTCATGTCATACTCTCTGGAGCAGCAGAAAACAAGCTCTCCCTATTTTTCACATAAAAGCCCTTAAGATATCTGAAGATGGCTATTGTATATCCTCCATGTCTTCTCTTCTCTAGGCTAAATATATATGATTCTCTGAACCATTTCTTACAGGCTTTGTCTTTAAGGATCTTTACCATATTGATCAGCCTTCTGTGGATGTATTCTAGCTTGTCAAGATTCTTCTTAAACTGTGGTGCCCAGAACTAGATGAGATCTGATCAAAGCAGAATGAAGTGGTATAATTTAATATCTGGATGTAGCTCTTTTCAGATATTAGGATTTCACTGGCCTATTTTGCTGTTGCACTTCAGATATTTTTAATCAATCAGTACTCCAGGATAGAGTGGTCAATACAATGAGTATACTTACCAATTGGAGCAGGACCAGTTGTACCATTAGTCACAGACAATATATATTTGATGTCATGAAAAGTAAGTACATTGGTATTTATTTAGTTTGCTTCTTGTTGCTATGCAACTTTCAAGTTGTTTCCGACTTATGGTGACCCTATCACAGGGTTTTCTGAACTAAAAGTGTGTGACTTGCCCAAGGTTACCCAGTGGGTTTTCATAGCAGAGCAGGGATTCAAACCCTGGTATCCAGAATTGTAGTCCAGTGCTCAAATCACTACACCACTCTGCATGCATTTACTTTCTTACTGTTGCCTTTTCTTGTCCAGGGAGGAAAAGAAATGCTTGTGGGATTTTCTGTTCTTTGGCTTGGCATTTGAGTACTATGCACCTTCACCTGAATAGATGGGAATGCAATTTCCTGTTCTGTCTGAAATGATTTTGAACCCAATCTAACTGGATGATTGAACTAAAGAGAGGGGTGGGAAGGAGGAAGCCAACACAGGAAGTGTACTGGATTGATACTATCACAGCAGATACTATCCATTATACAGATGATACTAGCAATAGCAATAACAAGTGCATTTCTATACTGCTTATCAGTGCACTTAAGCACTCTCTAAGTGGTTTACAATGTGTAACCTAATTGTCCACAATAAGCTGGTACTTATTTTAGCAACCTATGGAATGATGCAAGGCTGAGTGGACTCTTGGACCCCTGGTTGGGATTGAATTCACAACCTTGTGGTTTGTGAGTGAGTGGCTACAGTACAGGTATTCAACCACTGCACCACCAGGTCTCTACTATCCATTATTTATTATAAATTACTTCTTACTTCTCACATGTTGAAATCAACTCCTGTTTGAAAGGAAATACCCACCCCTCAGTCCTCTAGGGCCAATTGCATCCTACTGTTAAGTGCACTTGATTTACTGCTTTGGGGAAAAGCTCCTCCAACTACTAACTGTTTGCAGGGCTTTACTGGATGAAGGTTTCAAAAATGAACACTAAAACATTACATTAAAAATTCCTGCCTTCTAATTAGGAAGACATTTGAGAACCTTTCATTTGGTTCTCTTTTATGAGTGATAATCCACTTCCCTGCCCTTTAGACAGGCTACACATCCACAGCCTGGATAGATCATCCACAATATAAGTATATGAAAACTCCTGCCTGTTACATCTATGTCATTGTGGTGAAAACAAATAGGTGTTTGAATGTCACGGAAGACCAATTTGAGCTGCAGAATTTTTTATTACCAGGGTATTACCAGGGAAGGCAAAGAATCAGTCCAGCTTTCCAAGTGCTGAACACGTTTGTCATGTTAGCTGTTAAGAGACCTATTTCACTTCCTTCGTTTGTGCTCTTCAGATGAACTCATTTGATGTGCAATCATTGATAAACATAGGACCTCACAAAGCAGTTGTTTCTAGAATATCTTTTCAAAGTGAAAGCAGCAAGCATCCTCCGGAGGGATTTCAAAGTCAGCAGAAGCAAGAATTTCAATGAAATTCAAAGGGGAGATAGTGGGGGGGGGGGGTAGAGGGAGAGAGAAATAAACTCTCCCAAGAAAAAGGAGTGAGGTTAAAAATGCAGAACACAAGATATAAAGTAGCCCTTAAAGTATTTTTATTAAAGCCATCTCTTTTTTTTTTTGTGAGAAACTCTTAAAATAATTAGGCAGTCTCACCTCCTGAAAAGTGTGTATATAAGCTGATCTGGGCTGCATCTACTCTGCAGAAATAGTTTTGATGCCATTTTAATTGCCATGGTTCAAGGCTATGGAATTCTGGGAACTGAATTTCCAGAATTCTGTATCCTTGAGCCATGACACTTAAAGTGGTTTCAAATCTGATTATTTCTGGGTTCCCACATTGCTGTTAATGAAGAGGCACAGGATTCTGCTATGATTGGACCCACCTTTCCTAAGCTGTACTCCTAGTTGGGATGTGGAAAATAGTGCTGAAACCAGCAAGTGATAGTGTTTTTGCTTAACACAAACTGAGCTAAACATGGAAAATATGCTGCAACATTAAAGATTGCAACACACTGTATACAATATATTTCTTGTGGTTCATAATTAAATCTCCAAGTACTGATTTGGAATAATAGAAGACAGTGCACTTTAGGAAAGAAAAGAGGCTTACCAAATAAATAGGAATACAATGAATTCTAAGATATTAAGAATTTTGAAAAGAAAGTTGGAAAACGTCCAATTCAAAATGGTTCAGTTGAAGAGATTGAGAGTCATAGAATCTGATTAACCCACACTTTGCTAGCTTTTTTGCAATAATATTATTATCATTGTATCTGTTTATATCCTGCCTTCCTCCTGGTAAAGGGACTCATGGGGTATAGGGATAAGATTATGGGAACCATATTAAAAGCCTTAGTGAAATCAAGATATGCTCCATCAACAGCAGTCCCTTCATCTATGAAGCTGGTAATTTTATCAAAAAGAGAGAGAGAGAGATGATTAGTGTATGGTAAAGATGTAAAAGCTCTGAGTTTTGTTTAAAAGTTTCATGTTGCTTATCTTGATAAACCTGGGCCTTAATTTCATATGGGAGGGACATAATCTTGAGGAAACAGGATGTCAGAATCTAATCAACTCTTTTATAGGTTGTGTGTATGTATTCGGTTAATTTATTATACTGTTATAAATTGGTTATTGTAGTAATTTGGAAGTTTTAGTGTGGATAACCTTTGGACAATAATGGGAGGTATCGTGCTGGTTAAAACATTTAATTGTGGTGCAAAGGGAAGATTGTTGCTTGACACTGGAATGTGCAGCTGTCTAGAAAAGGTTTCCTTTCACCAAAACTTTCTCAGTAGGAAGGGAAAACAGAGACAAGACTGAAAGTGTATGAGGAGCTGGGCAGACTGGGCAAATATAGTTAGAGAGGGGAGATAGGTTTTAAATTGTAAACAAATCAAAGTAAAACCTGCAAAATGTTATGGTGGGACATTGTTAATTTTATGTCGGTATTTTTTGATTATGGCAGTTATGTGTACAAAGTCTTCCTGCTAACCTATGGGTTACTGGAATAATGTTCTTGCTGTTTGAAATACAGAAGGTTGGTTCTCTCAACTGTAGGGAGTAAAGGCAGTCTTTTGTAGCATGCCCTTCTTTCTCTTTTTCCTCACATCCTAGACCAATAGCATCTTCATGCTCTTCTTCATGTTGCCTCACCAATCCCCGTCCTTCTCTGATAAGCACCACCATGCCAACCCCCTAGGGCTTGACACTGCATGGGGGAGGCTCAGGACAGAGCATATGTATCCCATTTAAAATAAACAAGCTTTACATATGACACCAAATTAAGTGTGTATATGGCACCAGCAAAATTCCACTCATTTAAGTGTGGATATATTTCACTTATTAATAATTTCACCCCCCCAAAAAAACAAACCAAAACCCAGACAGTGGATTAGCACATATGCACATGTGTTAAAATGAATGAATGAGTCAATCCCATCATAAAAGTTAAAGGAAAATGGATGAATGCATACTACTGTTGAGGAAAAGGAAATGGACAGCTAGTGATCATATATATTGTTCCCTTTTCTTTTCTCAACAATATTGTTAAGGTCTTAGGTGAGGAAGCAACCTTGGCTGGGAAGTAGTGGTTTTCCCTTTCCACAGTGGTGCTGCCCAAAGCTAAAATCACATGTTGCTGTACCCTTATAGTAGTTGCACTGGCACAAAGGACACCGAACACAATTATTTTGGGTAAATCATTGGCCACAACTTTTATTTTGTACAGGGTCTTGATATCAATCAATTAAACATTTAAATAACAGTTTTCTTAAACATGAATTCATTTTTGACACATGTGTTCGTGTAGTTAAGCGCAAGCGCTATGAATTAATTGCTTCTAACACGGCA